AGAGAGAGAGAGAGAGAGAGAGAGAGAGAGAGAGAGACTAAAAGCTAATCATATAAAATTTATGTAAAATATAATTGGCTGAATTTCTAGTAACTTATAAATATATGTATTTATTAAAACCAAATTAATTTGTTAAATATGTTTTATAAATAAAAAATTATGGATAATCTAGAGTCCGGCGCCCTGTTGTTGTGCCTGCTGTTGGCCGCCGATCGCATTGCCAATTGGCGCGAATGGTGTGAAGGGTGCAAACGGGGCGAATCCTAGCCCTCCATTACCCTGTTGTTGAGCTTGTTGTTGGCCTCCAATGCCTCCAATACCTCCGAGACCTCCCAACAAACCCTGTTGTTGGGCCTGTTGTTGACCACCAATGCCTCCAATACCTCCGAGACCTCCCAACAAACCCTGTTGTTGGGCCTGTTGTTGACCACCAAAGCCTCCGATACCTCCGAGTCCTCCTAACTGACCCTGTTGTTGTTGTTGTTGCTGTTGTTGGGCCGCTAGACCGCCATAACCGCCATATAATCCACTCCAGGGGGCGTACGGAATGACATAGGGAATGCCAACCACACCATAACCTAATCCAGCCTGTTGTTGTTGCTGCTGCTGTTGTTGCCCAGCAAAGCCACCTGCGCCAAAGTAGTCTATAATTAATTAATTTTGTTAAGTAATTTTGAAATCAATACCGTTTAAGGTAATATAAGTAAAGCATATGGCAAAAAAGGCATAATTAATATAGTTCCCTGGGCACATCCCAACTCATTACCCATCTGCGCCTAATATACCCTTTAGTATAAATAAGTAGACTTAATTTTCAATTATCTTTATTAAAATAAATACACATTAAAAAGGTATTATAGCGTCACTTGGGGTAAGTGGTTATATAAATAAAAGGTTATGCCCAACCTCCTACAACACCTCCGATGCCGGCCTGTTGTTGCTGCTGCTGTTGGGCCGCATCAAATCCACCATAAACACCTCCAAATCCAACACCACCTAATCCAGCCTGTTGTTGTTGTTGCTGTTGTTGGGCTGCTCCAGCAATTCCTCCCCAACCACCAATACCTCCATAACCACCTAGGGCAGCTTGTTGTTGCTGTTGCTGTTGCTGTTGTTGTTGCTGCTGCTGCTGCTGTTGCTGTTGTTGGGCTGCAATTCCTCCCCAGCCACCGATACCAACAACACCGCCATAACCACCTAGGCCAGCTTGTTGCTGTTGCTGCTGCTGTTGGGCGGCTCCACCCCAACCTCCTAGACCACCATAAACACCTCCGAGGCCGGCCTGTTGTTGTTGCTGCTGCTGTTGTTGGGCTGCACCAGCAATTCCTCCCCAACCACCGATACCGCCATAACCACCTAGGCCAGCTTGTTGCTGTTGCTGCTGCTGTTGGGCGGCTCCACCCCAGCCTCCAAGACCACCATAAACACCTCCGATGCCGGCCTGTTGTTGCTGTTGCTGTTGGGCAGCGAGAGCACCGACACCATAGCCTAGCAATCAATTTATATTTAATATACATATTTTCAACATAACAGCAACAATAAGAATATTCTGTATAGAATTGAGTACCCAATTGTAATTAAATTACAATACATGCATTGGAAATAACAAATACAGTGTTTCTAAATAGCAATTAGGAATGACTTATTCTGCACTAAAGTGTTCGTTATAATTAATAACAATTTTTATAAATTTTTATAAAATTATCTAAAAGTTTTAAGTTTAATTAGGTAACTATGGCGTAAAGTATAATAAATTAGTTAATACCTCCATAACCAATTGGTCCGATTAAACCACCACTAAGAGCGGCCTGTTGTTGCTGTTGTTGTTGCTGTTGTTGTTGCTGTTGTTGCTGTTGTTGCTGTTGGGCAGCGATTCCGTATCCGCCATAACCGCCTAAACCCCAACCGCCGTTAACTGCCTGTTGTTGTTGCTGTTGGGCGGCTCCACCCCAGCCTCCAAGACCTCCTACAACACCTCCGATGCCGGCCTGTTGTTGCTGTTGCTGTTGGGCAGCGAGAGCACCGACACCATAGCCTAGCGATCAATTTATATTTAAAATACATATTTTCAACATAACTGAAACATTAAGAATATTCTGTATAGAAATGAGTACCGAATTGTATATAAGTTACAATACATGCATTAAAAATCGCGGTAATTTTTAAATAGCGATCTCACATTAGAAATTACTTATTTTGCACTTAATTGATAAAGTTAATTTAGTTATAATTAATACCATTTTTTAAATAGATAAAATTGAATTGAATTTTAAATTTCAAAGATTATTGTAAATTAATTACATAACTATGACTTAAACTATAGTTAATTAATTTCTACCTCCAAAACCAATTGGTCCACCAATCAAACCACCGCTAAGAGCTGCCTGTTGTTGCTGTTGCTGCTGTTGCTGCTGTTGCTGCTGTTGTTGCTGTTGTTGTTGGGCACCAATTCCTACCCCATATCCTATTTATATAATTGTTTAAAAATTAATTTACAAATAATTCTTATTTACTAGCCATTATTGTTATAGTTATTAATCATGCTAAGCTTATGAAAAATATAATATAACAATTTAAAGTTATTAACCATTATAGTTAGCTTAATCTTATTGGCAAACATAAATTTAACGCTAAATTCTGTATTAAACTTATTTTTTACGCTTAGAAATAATCAAGAATAAAAAGTTTACTATTTATATTTAAGAAATTAATTGCAACATTTTTAAGCCAAACTACAAAACTATAGTAAATTAGTTAATACCTCCGAAACCACCGAGGGCGGCCTGTTGTTGCTGTTGTTGTTGTTGCTGTTGCTGTTGTTGTTGCTGTTGTTGTTGCTGTTGGGCAGCGATTCCAACTCCATATCCGCCATATCCTCCATAACCGCCTAAACCCCAACCGCCGTTAAGAGCTGCCTGTTGTTGTTGTTGCTGCTGTTGGGCGCCTCCATAGCCACCAGCCTGTTGTTGCTGTTGCTGCTGTTGTTGGGCCGATAGACCACCATATCCTCCATAGGGCACACCATAGACACCATATGGGAGGGCATACGGGATAACGTAAGGCAGGGGAGCGACGCCACCGACCGCAGCCAACTGTTGCTGTTGTTGCTGCTGTTGTTGGGCTCCACCATAAGCACCACCTAAGCCGGCCTGTTGTTGCTGTTGCTGCTGCTGTTGAGCGGCACCACCCAAGCCATAGCCTCCCAACACACCAATTGGAAGAATCGGGCCAACCGGACCAATCAGACCACCGCCAACCGCTTGCTGTTGCTGCTGCTGCTGAGCTGCACCACCAACCAATCCTCCCCAACCACCAAGACCACCTAAGCCAGCTTGTTGTTGCTGCTGTTGCTGTTGTTGGGCTGCGCCACCAACACCACCGATGCCTCCCCACGGGCCAACCGGGCCAATCAAACCACCGGCAGCCGCTTGCTGTTGCTGTTGCTGCTGAGCTGCGCCACCAACTAATCCTCCCCAACCACCAAGACCACCTAGGCCAGCTTGTTGCTGCTGCTGCTGTTGTTGGGCTGCGCCACCATAACCACCGATGCCACCCCACGGACCAACCGGGCCAATCAAACCACCGGCAGCCCCCTGCTGCTGCTGCTGCTGCTGTTGAGCTGCACCACCCAAGCCATAGCCTCCCCAACCACCAAGACCACCTAGGCCACCTTGTTGCTGCTGCTGTTGTTGAGCGGCTCCACCGAAACCACCAACGCCACCGATGCCACCTAAACCACCTAGGCCACCCTGCTGTTGTTGCTGCTGCTGTTGGCCACCTCCGAGACCGCCCCACAGGCCGCCTAATCCGCCGAATCCACCATGGCCGCCGTGGCCGCCCTGTTGTTGCTGCTGTTGCTGAGACCTACCGACCGCATCGCGAGCCAATACGTTCAAAACCAATACAACTAAAAGCGGTTTAAAAATCATTATTTTGTGATTTTATTGAATGTAATGAAAAGGACTGTGAAGTGACTGTGAAGTTAGTTACAAAGTTTTAGACTGAAGACTAAAGTGGTCTGAAGTGACTATCAGTATCTTATAGAGTACCAGAATGTCTGCGCAGATAACGTGATCTTTATATCAGCTCCAGAAGGTATTTTAGAAGTATTCAATTTCCAATCAGTTTTTAATAATTTTTAATTAATTTAATTTAATTGCAAATACAGTTAACTCGGAATCAAACTATTAAATAAATAATCTAGGTGTTTGTTAGCTTACTGTCCAAACCGATATGGATTTAATATTTGATTTACTATTTCATTTAGGTTGTAATGCATGACCAAGTGTATTAATATACAAATGTACTAGGTCTTGTAGTGACCATTTAGTATTGGCTTAACTGTAAGTTTTGTCTACGTAATCGTAAATTGTATTACGATATATATTACATCCTATTTGGTAAGCAATGGTTTCAACGGACGTTAATTATTAGCCAATTATCAATTTAAAACTCAAACCGTATGTGAATTAATTAAAAACAACTTAAATTAACTGATGTTTGCGTACAATATGTTAGCGGTTTAAATGTTTCTCAACTATTCTTTAAAAATAAATTGAAATTAAATTTTCTATAGTTAAACTTGTTTAAACTTGCTTAGAACTAGTTAAATTTAACCATACAATTACTATTACTAGATTTTATTGGTATTTAGTTTATAAGTTATTTAGATATTGGTTTATAAGCAATTGTTAGTATTATATTTAAATAATAACTTTAAAAATAATTCACATTTAATAGTAATTTTTCATTGATAGGGAAATGTCTGGTAAATTTGTAAGTAATACTATTGATAATCTAACAGAATGCTTATTTATATACAGTATTATTATTTTCAATTAATAAATCTTTAAAAATCAAATTAAATAAAAACGGATTTTGTTAATAAAATACAGGAATTAGTTAGAAATGAAACGAAAAGCGTTTCTATTTTCTGGTGAATGCAAATGCTTTACATAAAAACCCATTTAATAAAAGATTTACTTATAATTAATTGGTTTTTCTCTATAATGTGTACGTTATATAAAGTACAATATTTATTATGCATTTCATATACAGTGTATACAAGAAATCCAGTGTTTCCTCGATATGTTAAATACAAATTTTTGGTAAATTTATTTTGAACTCAATTTTTTTGCCCGAAAAACTGGTTCTTTACTTATAAACAGATTTGTTTTGTTTTGCATTTGTTTTGTTGTTTTAATACATTTATAAGCATTTATTTTTGATTAATAATTAAAAGTGTAATTTTAATGGTTGTATAAAAGGCTATTTTTATCACATTTATTTGAAAGACTACCACGTAAAATGTTTGAAATTTTTAACTACTTATAGTTACAATAATGTAAATTACCAATATAAATTATATAATAATACATAAACACATATTGGATTTGGACAGTAACTTGGATGTATATGTTAATATACCTTTATATTTAAATTATATCTAATATTATATTGTAATTTACTAAAAATATAACAACTTCTGTATTATTTCATTAAATTTATTAATATATAGTTTTTGAATTTAATTAAATCTGAAATTTAAAATTAGTAAATCATTTTAAAACACATTTAACGTAATGTCACTAAAAATGAGTGAAAGATGAGGTGATGAAGCAGTAGAGGGAAAGAGAGAGAGAGAG